TGCGACTCTCATTAATAAAAGTCGAATTATAATAGTATTTGAATTTTCAAGATTCATGTGAAGTTTTCATGAGAAACATAATTGTCCGAATTCTTAGTGCATGTTGAAGTTTTACGGAAATTTTATTCCAAGGTGGAAGATACATATTTGATTTATATCAAGTGGAAGCTGGAAATAATTATTTTCATATGCAAAGCATGAAATTGTGCATATATGATTTACAAGGTTTATGTGACGGAATATATGAATTCCAAAATTATTGGTGGAAAGTGTTCCTAATGTTGGAATTGGTATATAATTTCCTTATATGGAAATAGATGGGTTTATGTGAAATATTAAAATCATATTTTGGAATGATGGTGTCTGTTGTGAATTTCAATAAGTTTTTGTATTGACTATCAATTTAAGTGTGAATTTTATAAGTTTGATATAATCTATTGATTAATTTCTTTAACCTTATATGGTATAATTAACTATGTGATATGTGGCATGTATTTGAATCATACGGAGTTACATGTGGTCAATATGGTTGGGTTTGTTATTTTGAGATGAGGATTTGAGGTTTACCATGGGATAATGAGAAGCTATTTTGGATTGTTATCATGAATATTTGGAGGATTTGTGTTATCCAAGCCTTTACTAATTTTTGGAATATGATTTATGTTGAGCATGGAAATATTATTTGTGGTAATAATGAGTTAAAGGTTCTACATAAGTATTGGAGTAAGGTATGTATTTTGGGAGATATGAATTTTGATATTAGCATTAATTTATGATCGTTTATATCTAAAGGTGGAAAGTATCCATATTGCAAGAATGAGTATTGTGATGATTATTTAAAGCAAAATTGTTGATGATTGAATCCTTTGAAGAAACTTAATACAAAAGTTAGAGGATTTTGAGTCAATTGAAGTGAAAGGAAGTATAAGAAATAATATTGAGATAGAGGAATTTGTTTAAATTGAAGTTATTTTGAAGAAATAATACCTTGTGAAGGGATTTATTAAAGTTAGTTAAGGAAATGATTGTTTGGATGATTACTTAAAGGATTTCACTCTAAGGGATTGATGATAAAATTTATATAGAGAAGTTATTAAAGATAGAAGAATCAATTGAGTTATTTAATGAATTGCCTTAGAGATAAGTTATGGATTATTACAACCAGATTGAGGAATTTGAAGTTATGAGAAAAGATTATCGAATTTTTTTTAAAGGCGAAGTATTATGTTATTTGAAGTAACCAAGAGGTAACGATTACGTTTTTAGGCTGTATTAACAGGACTCATGAAATTGTTGGGAAAATTGTAAATACTTTTGGAAGATACCCTGAGACAAGTTACTAATCTATGAGCGATAAGAAGGTCAAGGTGAGATATGTTCTTTTTATGCTTGTACTTATGACAATCTTTGCTATGAAGTTGAATATGTGATTATTGTAATTATAGAGTTTCTTTATGAAAAAGTAAGACTTTTAAAAAGTATTTTACAAATATGCAAAATGAATTTTCAAATATATTTTGAAAATAAAGTTTTGTATTCCTTGTTTTTTTTATTTTTATAATGGTTTTGATTGAAAACTTTCATAAATCTTTTAATATATTTGATTAAATATTTCAGTTCATACTTTATAGTCTTTCAACGATTTCTCCTAATGAAAGTATTTTAAATTTTACGAATGACTCATAAAGATATTTGACGAGTTATCTAACTACTTTTGTAAACAAATCAAAACCTAAGTTCTTTTGGAAGTTTGAAACTTTCTCATTTTCCTTACTTTGATTGACGATCGCCGATAAAGTGTTAATATCGTTGATTTAATGAGTTAATGTGTTGGTCTAGTTACGGGGACGTAACTCCTTTTTAAGGGGGTTAGAGTGCGATAGAGTTTCGCGCGCGTTTATTTTCAACCCTCTAGGTTAGTAGTAGGCTGTGTCTAGTTAGAATGTGCATGAAACTAACTAACTAAAATCTATTTTCAAAGAAGAAAATTTTTAATTTTTTTTTTACTTATTATTCTGCCTAGTTTCGGGGCGAAACTTCTTTTAAGGGGGGTAGACTGTAATACCCCGTATTTTTGAAAGGTATTTTCTAAATTAAAGAGTATTTTAGTCTCGTATTTTTTACGTATTATCTAAATTAATTATTTTCCTAAAGAGTATTTTAGTTTTGGAGCCAAAATGATATTTAAACTTTGGCACCTAAATCATTATTTTACAAAACTAATTAAATTGGATAATCCAATAAATGAAACTTTTTTATACTTATGTTATAAATAGTATTTTTTTTATTTCTCAAAATTAAATAGCTAAACTGAAATTATATTAATTCGGTAGATTAATTAAATTGTATTTTCGGTTTTCATAGAATAAAAATCAAAATTGTTTTAATATCTTTCCAAATTAATTATTTTCATGAAATATATTTTTAAAGAATTAATTTTCAGATTTTATATAATGAAAATCTGATTTAATTAATTATTATAAGTCAAATTTTCGGCCACCCCAATTATTTAATAAAAATCTGATTTTATTCTGTCAAGTATTAATTTTCACAAAATAAATTTTATTGGATTATTAATTTTAGGCAAATAAATTATTTTACAAAATCCCTAAACTAACATAAGAGGACCGAAAATATTGAACAATATTTAGCTCAATATTTTCGGCCACTCATGAATTTTCTAAAGGATTTTTAATTTATTTTATTAAAAATAAAATCCTTTAAATTTCCTTATTTCTATTCTTAAATCTAAAAATTATTTGATCCTATTCTATACTTGCACTCCAAGCTCAAAACCTACCAAACAAAATTTCATGATCAAATAAAATCTAATATCCTTCCATTCATTTAAAACCCTAATTTCTATTCTTTAAATTTCCATAAATTATACAACCTGAAATTTCTATAAACTCATCACCTAAACACCTATAAATACCCCCTCGTATCTCTCATGTTCTTCACACCAAAAACTCAATTCCCTTCTTTTCTTTTACTCTCTTTTCCCTCAAACTTTTCCTATTTTTCTTTTCCTCTTTTCTAAAAGAAAATCTGCCCGTATATCTTTGGATCCAATTTTCGTGCACTTCTGGTCAGTTTTTGGATTTTTCTATTTCATAGAAAATTATTCCTCTTGAACAATAATTGAGGTTAGGCTCAAAAATCACCCGATTCGGAGTTATATCAAAGGGGTTATGACCTCTGCAAGTTCCGCCTATCCTTTTCAACGCAAATTCAATTTCCTTTAATCCTATTCCTTTATTTTCCTCATGGTTAGTTTTCTAAAATATAATTACCTATTTCACAGTTATAATTTTATATTAAAGTATTATTTTTAAAATAGTTTTATATTCCATGCACATTAGATTTGGGTTTATGTCTAAAGATGTTGTGATAACCGTATGGTTATGTTAATTGCAAGGTGTATTCGTGATTGAACTTTGAAAGTGCGAAGTGTTGATTGATATTCGGTTAAGGTACGTTATGTGGTTTGATACCTTCGAAAGTTGTCCATGAAATTGTATCTTATTATTTTACTTATAAAATTATGTTTCATATGGTTTGAATTAATGATTTTTGGTTAATCAAAATAGACTTTGAATTATGATTAAAATTATTAAAAAGGATTGGATTAAAATTAATTTACAGGTTTCTTAATATTCAAGAATGATGGATTTTTTTTTAAAAGGTGCTTTTAAGTAAATCAATCGATATGGTTATGAATCCCACTTAGGGAATGGATTAGAGAAGACTATGGACTTTGCATGACCTAGTCTTTCCTCAAGATTGGCCTTTGTTCATAAAGTAAACCACTTGGGGGGTGTGCACACTTAGTGATGAAATGGTTTAGGAACGTAATCGATTGAGTTTTAAACTTTTCTTGAAAGCATTGAATTGGAAAAGCTCTTACATGAGTATGGCATTGGAATTCTTTGAATTAAACTTAAATGATTTAAATTATGTTTTACTTATCTTACACATAACCTACTTAGCATAATTGCTAATACGTGCTTTTGTTTTGGCTTTTCCCTGTTTACCATTTATGGTAAGCAGGTGAATGTTTCAGGTGGAAGTTGATTGATTCATACGGGAGTCCACGGGAATTTCACCTAGCTTAGGAAAAGTTGGAGTCGTTTTTGTGTCACAATTTATGAACAAGTTTATTTAAAGTTTTATTAATAAGAATAAAAAATTTCTGCTGCAAAAGTATTTTCAAAGTATGAGCCTTGCGTTATCACGCGGCGGTAATATGCCCAAGTCTATCTCTACGATATTTATACGTATTTTCTACACATTCCGTAGAGGGAGATTTGGGGGTGTTACACTATATTATGCTTATTTTGCTTTTGATTTTACTGCTTTTGTTTTTACATGTTTACATGTAAAAACATGAAAATCAGAGATACTCAAAGCATTTAAAGTCTCGTTTTTTAAAAAGTGAATCAATGTACTCTGTCTTGAAAATGATCTCAAGACCTTGAACTGTTGTCCGTATTTCAAAGACACATGTGACGATTTTTCTAACATGTTTCAAATGCTTAACAGTTTTACAAACTGTTGAATAGAATATGCTCCCGTAATCTGTTTCTTCACATGCTTAAACAAACAATAAACCCCGTAATCTGTTTCTTCATATGCTTAAACAATAAACGGTTCTTCATATGCTCCCGTAACAACAAGCTACATTTTCTTCGTATTAATCATGCTCAGAATCGAGTATATTAATTTAACGACGCAACTCAAATGGTCACGAAATGGCCATTAGTTCATCAAGACGTTTCTGCTTCACCTGTGAAAGGTGCGATGTGTTCAATGTCATATAAATAATCACTGAGGTAGAATGACATAAATTTAGTATTGAAACTTACAGGTAGCTTCCGAGAAGACGTATTTGCCTTCCCCTTCCCCTTCCCCTTTGTTGTCTTCCCCTATGACATACCGGGTTCTGCCATTACAGCCTTTTCCTGCATCCTCTTCCTAAACACTAGATCCTGCAACACCATTTACTCCTCCTCAACACCTTCATCCTGCCCAACACCATTTGCTGCTGCATCCTCCTCAACACCATTTGTTGTTGTATCCTCCTCACCACCATCACCATTTCCTGCATTTGTTGTCTTCCCCTTTGTCTTATCGGGTTCTGTCATTCCTGCCTTTTCCTGCATCCTCCTCCTAAACACCAGATCCTGCAACACCATTTCCTCCTCCTCAACACTTGCATCCTCCTCAACACCATTTGCTGCTGCTTCCTCCTCCTCACCACCATTTCCAGCATCCTCCTCAACACCACTTCCTGCATGCTCCTATATGAAGATAATAACAACATTCAGAAAATAATAATAGGATAAGCAGTCAGACCCTTTAAATATTGAAGATAGCATAAATCTTACCGGGCTAGGCTTCTTATTCTTGTTGGTTTTCTTGTAGCCAGTTTCAGCTAACGCTTTGTGCCTTGAACCCTTAGGCCTGCCCCTTTTCCTTTTCTTAATTATAGGGTCTTTGATAACAAGGTCCATCGTAGCTGGACATGATTCTACGGCAGTAGCATCAGCAGCAGGATTCCTAACTGAGGAAAACGTTCTGCCTTCAGTGGCTGATGTCAATGTACTAACTACAGGAACATTTTCCTTACTCTTCTTGTCCCTACGCTCATTAATAGCTAATTGAAGCTTTGATAGTGTTTCAATTACCATATGGACCGTTTGATCATCCACCATGGCTGCGGTTTCACATAAGGGCTCGAGTTTTTGCATCATTTTGTTGAATCTCTTCACATTGACCGTGTCCCCCGGGTCATGGTAGGCCACCTTCACCCTAGTGTGCTTCCGGGGTATGTCCTTCCTCCAACGGTCTACAATGTACTTCTCTAGTAGATCTTCAACCAAGTTTTCATTCAAAATCCTAATACAGTGTTTGCAAAGTATGCCACTTGTCTCAAACTTCCTACAGTCACACAGCACCTCCTTTGTCATTGGACAGAAAGTAACATTGTAGGATCTTCGCCTGTTTGTAATGACATCCTCACTCGCACCGGGAGGTACTATCCATACATGATCGACAACCGAATTCTGAATAAGCTTTTTAGACAAAACCTTCTCTCCTCGGACGTTGCAATACATCATTCTCGTACACTCCTTTTGAACTTCTTGAAACTTGTTGTCCGTGTATAACTTTTGGAATATTTTTTCGACTTTGAATCCACTAACCACCCTCCTAAGGTAATTCGAGCAACGCGCATCTGCACTCAGTTCATCTCGAACGCGTTGATCCAAGGCCATGCAATACTTTTGAGGAAACTCATGGAGTTTTGTTTTGCGGCTCACATAGCCGTCAAAAAACCAATTGATGCTCTCCACCCTTTGTGTGGTCTTCATAGCGGCCCAAAAAAACTCCTTCACGTACGCAGGCACCCACATATAACTCTCTTCGTGTAGGCTCTGTAGCCATTCATTGTCCTCCAACTTATACTCAGCAATAAACTTTGCCCATCAGGTTTGGAACTCCTCGGGGTCAAAGCTCTCATATACCAGCTCTTTGAGGTTGTTGACGAACTCTTGGTAACTAGACAAAAATGATAACAGCAGAACAACAACAACATGTTAGCTTGTCTTTAATATGGGAATCAGATTATTACGCCTTTGAAACTAATATCAAGAACTTGAAAATTATAAAGCCAGGAGGAGGAATTTCACAACATACCGTGCACACTTGCCAAGTTTCTCAGGGATCATTCTCATGATATGCCATATGCACCAACGATGCACCGTGTTTGGCATAACTTCAGCAAGGGGCCTCCGCATAGCTGCCGCTTGGTTGGTCAATATGGCTTTAGGAGCTCGATTGTTCATGCAAGCTAACCATTGTCGAAATATCCACGCAAATTTATTGCAGTCTTCATGTAAAACAAGAGCACATCCCAACAACAACGATTGCCCATGGTGGTTCACACCAACAAAGTTCACAAACGGGAGCTCGTACTCATTCGTTAGGTATGTTGCGTCGAAGCAAACCGCATCACCAAAGTCCTCATAAGCTACCCTGCTTCTTGCATCCACCCACAACACATCCTTAAGCCTCCCTTCTTCATCCAAACGTTGAGCATGGAAAAAAATTTGGTTCCCAGTTTGCATTTTGTCAAAGTACTCCATCATTGCCACCGAGTCCCCTCCAACCATCTTCAACCGCCTAGCCTTGTACACCTCATGTTGTAAATCTTTTACTGTCAGAGCCATGTTACCCTTTCGTTCGGTCGCCATGAAACCGTGTATTTGAGAAATTGGTACACCTTGCTCGTACAAATCTGTCAGCGTCTTCTTCACTTTGGAGGTCATTTGCCTCATGCGGTACTCCTTAACAAGCTTAGACTTTGCCGGATCAATCTCATGATTATGCTTTAGTTCCACGCTCTTCAACTCCCACAAGTCATCTTCGTTAACTTTACCATAAACACGGGCCTCACATTCGCACTTTTTCGAAGTCCTCGTCATACCACTTAATTCATCCTCACATACCACCCCATCAACTAAACCACCTGAACCTCCATGACTCGTTGCCTTTGCCCTCTTCTTCGCTTCCCTCCTAGCCCTCATGTCGGGTTTTCCCCAACACTCACACTTCCACGTGACTTTGATTTTTTTTTGGTCCCCCGTCTTAGAATTTACAACTTGAGCCCTTGTCACTCCAAACCCCATCTGCTCAGCATAGTCCTTATAGTAGGCTTCAACCTGTTGCCAAGACTGGAAAACCATCCCTTCCTTAAGCTCCTCAACAACTACAACTATTTCGTTGCTACCAACCATAGTGTGAGTCTTATGAATTGTTTCCAGGGGGGATAAATACCTAACAACCATGTCAAGTGCACAACTACCTGCATCATCTACGTCTTCTATATCTTCCTCCATATGGACGTTACTCCGAAACTTGACTCCACTGCCACAATCACCAACACCAACCTCACTTCCCCTTATAACGCTTTCTGTTTCCATTTCCATAATATCAATATTCTCCAACAAAAACAATTAACCCTTCAAATAAAGAACACCAACATAATTACTACGACCAAAATTAATACAGAATGCCAACATAATTATAATATAAAATTCAACACAAATCAACCAAACAAGTTTTCACAGCACACATTCAACCCAACACATAAATATAACCAACCGACACAAATCAACCAACCAATTGAACAACCAACACAACCAATTTTCACAGAACCCCACAAATCAACACAGGGATTTTTTAAAAAACATACGAAGATAACACGTTGTTTTCAAAAACTAAAAATTACATTTCAAACAAAATCCTCCGGTCATTTCCGTCAACCTCAACCCCATTTTAACAGAGGAAAAAGTCCTTAAAATCCATTTACATTCAAAATTATTCCGATTGCGGTCGAGATTATGAGCTCAATTTCATGAATTGTGGGCGCATGACAACAACTGAAAAAAACTCACGACTGCAACATGCGACGCTTAAATAGATCGGAAAAATACCTCGTAATTAGAAGATGTCCGTGTGGTTTTCAACTGGGTCTGTTTACTGGGTCTGGAAGCTGTACAAAACGACGATAAGTGAAGATCAGGTATAGTCAGCAACAAGAAGGTAACTCCATCTAACATATTGATGGAAGGATGTCAAGAAGGTAACGCCATCAAACTTATTGACGGAAGGATGTCCCCCACTCAGTAATACTCCAGGTATAGTCAGCAACTTGACACATAGACGAATCAAACTTAGCAACTCATGAAGTGGAAAACTTCCACTTAATTTTCGAAATGCCATTGTGAGTAACAAACTTGTTAGTCACAGTGAGTAACAGGGATTTAGCGTTTTAGGGAGGCTCTTGAAGCTTGTCATCTTCGTGACCTTGGATTTGAGGGTCAGTTTTTCACGTGGGAGAAGGGTTTATCTGAGAGAACCATGATCAGGGAGAGGCTAGATAGGTATTGTGGCAATGAAGACTGGTTTGGTATCTACCCCGAAGCTAGGGTGGAGAATCTGGTTCGCATAAAATCAGACCACGCACTCACCTATTTTGGCAAGACTAAAGAGACCTAAAAAGAAGCGCAAGAGGGGTAAAAAGAACTTCAAGTTCGAGACATCATGGTTGTTGGATGCCTCGTGCGAGAAGGTTGTGAGAGAGGCATGGTATGGCAGTACGGGTTGTGATATTGGGGTGAGGTTGGAGGTTTTACTGAGCTCTCTTAAGAAGTGGGGTGGCAAAAAATTTGAAGTCTTTAATAAACAGATTAATGTGGCAGAGAAAGCCTTACATGAAGCACAAGGAAGGCCTATCTCGAGAGAAAACATTGAACTTTGTACATCTCTTGAGACTAAGATCGAAGACCTTTGTGGGAAGCAAGAAGCTCATTGGTATCTTCGCTCTAGAGTTTCAGAAATTCGAGGCAGAGATAGAAACACAAAATATTTCCACCACAACGCTTCTCAAAGGAGGAATTAGAATGAAATAAAAGGCTTATTTGATGCTAGCGGGGAGTGGAAGGTAGAAGAGGAGGAGTTCGAGGAAATTGTCGAGAATTTTTATGCTGATTTGTTTACCTCTAGCGACCCTTTGATTGCACACTGTGGAGGGTTCTTAGAGCTATCACCTCGTCAATCTCAAGTCAAAACAACGAGTTTTGTATCCCCCGTATTTTTAAATAATGGGAAATTCTCAATGGCAATCCCCAACTTTTGCTACGCATTAACGGTAACCTCCCTCTTTTTCAATTATACAAAATGACCTTAGTTAAAATTTTCATCTCACTCATAACCTTATTTTATTAAATATTAACTATATTTAGATTTATATTTAGAAAAAAAGAAAAATAAAAATAAAAAAAATAAAATTAACTCAACCACCAAAAACAGCCACCCCCACTAAAAAAACCCACCCACCATAACACAGTCGTAGCCACCGCCACCACCCTATCCCCGCCAATCCCCCGGCTGGCGTCAAATCTGCCGGAACTCCCGCGTCGGCGCCACCTTGACCTCGACACCCAAGTGCCGGCACCCCAAAGCTTCCCCTAAACCACCAGCCACCCCCACCCAAAGAACTCCTTTCTCCCTCGAAAAACGTACCCCTCCCCATCGCCGACGTCCAATCACCCTTCCTCGCGTCGGCGAACCCCACGCCATCTCCCCCGCCCCTCCCTCTGCCATCTCCACCCCTAGAACCACCACGCCAAAACCCTAAATTAAAAAACCCTAAAATCGAAATCTAGGGTTTCGATTTTAGAGAATTCGATTTTGGGGTTTTAGGGTGTCGAGGATGGTGGTTTAAGGGGGTGGGTGTGTTTCCGACGGTATTTCGAGGGGGTGGGTGGGGTCCGACGAGGTTTCAAGAGGGTGGGCGGGGGTGTTCAAGGAAGAGAAGGGTGGCCGGAAATGGTTGTTGAGGGGGGTGCTGGGAAAGGGAGGGGTAAGAGGTTGGCAAAGGTGGTCGGTCGGAATTATTGGAGGGTGAAGGGAAGAAGAAGAGGAAAGGGAAAGGAAAAGGAGGAAGGAGGAAGGAAAGAGAAAGGAAGGAGGGAGGGGTTTCCGGATTATGGTGGTGTAAGGGAGGGGCTGCCAGAAATTATGAAGGAGGACCAAGGATGGAGGAAAGAGAAAGGAAGGAGGAAGGTGGTTGGGTTAATTTTTTAGTTTTTTTTTTTTTTTTTGTAAATATAAATCTAACTATAGTTAATATATTTAATGAAATAAGGTTATGAGAGATGAAAATTTAAATTAAGGTCATTTTGTACAATTGAAAAAAAAGGGAGGTCACCGTTGGTGCGTAGCAAAAGTTGGGGGTCAACATTGAGAATTTTCCTTAAATAACTTATAAAAAAAAATTATTTTATTTATAATATTTATTTGTATTTTTCCGGAATTTATTTTAAAATTTAAAAATTATTAATTTAGGTCAAAAAATTATTTTAGTACAAATTATTTTATGTACCTATATCCTACAATTTATGCCCATATAAACAAAGCGTAGTCCATTGTTATTTATTTAATTGGCCCACTATTTTCATGAGGCCAATTTTACCCTACAACTCTCTCCTATAAATACCCCATTAATCCCCAAATTTTTCCCACACAAAAAGGTTAGTCTTATTTTATTTCTCCTTTATTTTTTCTTTTTCTTTTATTTTCTTTTTCCTTTTCTTTTTCTTTTTCTTTTTCTTTTTCTTTCTTTTCCTTTCTTTTTTTTTTATTTCCTCCTTTCACGTGAGAACTTCTCACATACTACCCTACTACTGTTACGCCACCACCAGCCTCCGGTCGCCGGCCACCGCCCAGACCACCGGCGACCCACTAGCGGCCCAGCAACAGCGGCGGCCCACGTGGCTGCTCCTTCATCTATCCCTTTGTTTTTCTTTATATTATTTTGGTCAATGTTTATTAAATTGATTTAAGTTTGATTTTATTGTTTGAAATTGTTTTAATTAGTATCAAGAGTATATTTTTGATGATTTAAAGCTATAATTTCATATTATATAAATGTTTTAAAATTTCAAATTTTGTGATTTTAAAACCTAGGGTTTTAATTTATTGAAATTGGGATTTTAGGGTTCTATTGAGTATTAAATTGGGGCTTTTGTTTCTATTGGATTTCTAACCAATAATTAGGCATAAAAACATGTTTTTAAAGAATTTTTAAGGAGTTTTAATCAAATTTATATTTCTGGAAATTAGTTTGTGAATTAATATTTGATTATTGGTTGCTTTCTAGGAGGTGATTATTCCCTAGGAGACTTTTAATTGATTAAAAGTGGCACAAAGGATTGTTTATACGAGGTACGTACATGTCTACTTCGTTGTTAGTAGTATCATGTTTAGGTACCAAAAGGAAAGAACTTAGTTTCATGTCTAGAGAACTCTTGAACGAAAATTGTTTGGTTAAACATTGAATTAATTTATGTACGTATGTTTATGAGACATGTTTTGGTGAATTGATTATGTTTGTATGGAATTATGCATGCAAGCATGTTGAATTATATTAGATTAATCGTTTGTATGGAATGTTGATACAAGCATATAATTTTATTGGATTGGTTTGTTAACCACATTTGGATTATTGAAGGATTGGAATTGAATGGTTTAAGTGGAATGAATTTACTAACTATTCTATGAGGTTATTGTTATTTTATTTATTACTCAAGCATGACTTGTTAGTATGTTGAGTAAAGGTGGATTAAGCCGAAATGGCTAGGTGGGTTGACTATGTTCAACAATATTGGATATCTTGGAAGTTTAATGGAATTAAAGGTCAATTTGTGTTGTGATCATCGTTGTCCTAAATAAGATTAAAAGTGAATTGTATGTATGGTTATTATGTATGGTTTACTTGAATGAGTCGGCTATTAATTAAACTTTTAATCACGCAAAGTGAAACATGGATGAGCAATAAAACTTTGAAAAGCGTGCACTTCTAGAGTATTGACAATTATAGGTTGGGGTACATGGTGGTAGCCCGTGGCTTTCCGAGACTTGTTTGATCAACATGTCCTCTTTTCTTTTGGTATTTACATTTTTATTTTATAATGAAAGTTAGATGGGATCCTAGACTAACTTTGTGAGAATGGAGTCGCGCCCATTCTTGCATCGCGCTATATTTTTATTTTAAATGGTCATTTGGGACCAAAATGATTTGGTAGATTGGACAACTTCGTCTATTTCTTAATCCAATTAAATTAATTAAAATAAATATAAAGAGTCAAATGGATTGGAATTGGTTAGTGAGTATGTTGAGTTAATTGAACTATTTTGGTGCGGAGTCTTGGTTAATGAATTTATATTGAATGTTATTTATTTTAATTAGTTGAGCATGCTAAGTTGGTGTGTTGTAGCTTGTATGTACTCAGCTTTGCTGATTGCATGCTTCTGTGTGTTTTCCTTTGGTCATGGCCTTCGCCTTTCAATGACCTAGTGATGATCCAGTTATTACACTTGTATTATTGGGGAGCAATATTGCACAGGTTATCTTGATGATGTGAAGTTCGGTGATTGGCAACGCATTGTCAAGGGATTTGTGTGATTGAGAGTATTTGTTCTTTGTGTTGAACTCATTAATGTTTTGTTATTAATTTATGATTTGGGTTTTAAATATTGGTTTGTTTTTAAATAAGTATCTTTATGGTTCCAGTTTGTAAGCTTTGACTTATTGGTTTTCTAAACTTTGTTATTTTAAAGACTTAAGTTTGGTTATTCCGCTGCGATACTTTGATAAAGCCTTAACGTTTTAACACGTGGCGGTAACATGCCTATAGTTCTCCTCTATTTTTATTTAAAGTGGTTTAGAAAAGGGAGAATTTTTGGGGTGTTACAAGTTTCTTACTTGGCCTTATGACAAAGATGAAATACATGCAGCAATCTGTGCAATGCATCCCTGTAAAGCCCTGGGGCCAGACGAAGTACATGCCATCTTCTATCAACGTTTTTGGCACATTGTGGGTGACGAGGTATTTCTTTTTGTCAATAATATTTTGCATGGTGTTTGCTCCCTAAAATCAGTAAATAGCACTAATATTCCATTAATTCTGAAAGTCTAGACGCCGACTGCTATGACCGAATTCTGTCCTATTGCTCTTTGTAATGTCCTTTATAAAATTGCTTCTAAGGCTATTGTCATGAGATTAAAGTCAATTTTCCTGGTATTATTTCCGAGAATTAGAATGCTTTTGTTCCGGGTAGATTAATTACTAGTAATGCCTTAATAACAATGGAACTTTTTCATACTATGAAGAAACGTAGCAAGGGGAGGAAAGGGACTATTGCCATGAAACTTGATATGAGAAAGGCGTATGACAGAGTGGAATGGTTTTTTCTGGAGAAACTATTGCTGAAAATGGGATTTGCAGAGTGTTGGGTTAGACTTGTGATGGAATGTGTGTCGACGATTTCCTACTCTTTCATCATTAACAGGGTTGTCTCTGGTTCGGTTCTCCCTACTAGAGGCTAGATATCGATAAGGTGACCCCCTATCTCCCTACCTTTTCATCATGATTGCTGATGCTTTCTCTTCTCTAATCAGGAAAGCATCGGATGATAGACTTATTCATGGGGCCGGAGGCAGCTGGAGAGATCCAAATATTTCTCATCTTTTCTTTGCAGATGACAATCTGCTTTTTGCAAGAGCCAACCGAGAGGAATGCTCAAAGATAGTTGATATACTGAACATTTATGAAGCAGCTTCCGGATAGAAAATTAACTATGAAAAATCCAAGGTCTCTTTCAGCAAAAGTGTTAATATGTCAAATCAGGAAGAGTTGGTGGAAATTTTGAATATGCGACTGGTGAACAAACATGAGAAATATCTTGGCATTCCTACTATTTTGGAAAGGTCTAAGAGAATGGTTTTTTCAGCCCTGAAAGGCAGAATCTGGAAGAAACTTCAAGGATGGAAGGAGAAACTTCTGCTCGAGCCAGAAAGGAAATTCTTATTAAGTCGGTCATCCAAGCAATTCCAACTTATTTGATGGGAGTTTACAGATTACCTTGTAGTGTCATTGATGAGATTCAATTTCTTACTGCGAGGTTTTGGTGGGGGCACTCGGACACTAGGCGGAAAGTTCACTGGATAAACTGGGAGGTTTTGTGTAAGCCGAACTGCCGAAGTGTTTCGGAGGATTGGGGTTCCGTGACTCGGGGGTATTCAATGAAGCTCTTTTGGGAAAATAAGCATAGCGGCTCATCTCTTCTCCCGAGTCTCTTTTTGGGCGTGTCATGAAAGGGATATACTTCCCAAATTCTGACTTTTTGGAAGCTTCTCTCGGGCTTAATGGTAGCTACTCATGGGGGAGTATTTGGGGTTCAACGACGCTTATCAAAGAAGGTTTAATTGGCGGGTAGGGGATGGTCAGAAAAATAATATTTATGACGATCCTTGGCTTGCGGATGAAAATGGGAGATCTGTGACTTCATCTCAGAAGGAGGAGCTTACCGTAGTACGAGATTTAATTGATAATGACACTAAAGAGTGGAATTATGATCTTTTAGTGTCGAATTTTGATGAGAGGGATGTACGGTGCATCCTATCAGTTCCTTTTAGCTCTCGAAATCAGGAAGACAAGCTGACTTGGGCTTTCTCAGGGGATGGCCTCTACTCCGTGAAAACAACTTATATGCTTTCTCAGACGATTTTCACCGGGTCTGGGTTGACATTTGGAGCTTGGACACAATACCAAAGGTCAAGCACTTCTTATGGAGAATCTGTACAAACTCGCTGGCCACGTATGCAAGTTCATCTTCGAAGCAGACACATGCAGGATACTAATGTGTGCCCTTGGTGTGTTTCCTCGCCCGAAACACTACACCATGCTTTCTTTAATTGTCCAGCAGTGCATGACCTTTGGCGTGAGTGTGATTGCTTGGCCCTTCTTGATTTTGATCCCTCGGATGACTTTAAGGAGACCCTTATGAAGTGGAGAAGAATGGATGCAAAGAAGTGTGTGATTGGGGTGGCTCTTATGTGGCACATTTGGAACAAGAAGAACGATAAAATTTTTAAGGAAAAGTAGCAAGGAAGGTTTTTTAAGTGGTCGATCTTGTGAGAAAGGTCCTTTAAAAAAAAAGGTGGCACAAAAGGTCCTTTTATGGCGTTTTGGTTATGAAGAGGGTCCTTTGACCAAACTCCGGCATTGACCTTGATATTCCGGCCATAAAATGTCAAGTGACCGGAATTAGTAGCTACCCACCATTAATGGCGAATTACCGCTTAGGACATTTTAGGGGAAAGGGGAAATCGAGGAAGAAGAGGGAAAGGCATAAAAAGAAAAGCAAAGTAGATAGAAAAAGAAATTAAAAAGGAAAATAAAACAAAATCCCATACATCAATCAGACCCCTATTCTCTTCCTCTTCGTGAATGCTTGGTTGCTCCCTTCTCATCATCACCACGCATCATCATCAACGGTGTTCAGCGTTTTCATCAATAGTTAACAAGCATCAATCAATTGCAGCCGTTAGATGGATTCAATCAATCGCAGCCGTTGAAGACCATTAATCCGTACAAAATTAAACCCATTAAACGAGCGGCCGCTCGAGAAATCGGAGCTCGAGAAATTGAACCTTAATTGGAGTGACCATAACTAGAAATTGGAGCTCGAGATATACTGCTAACACGGACGATGCGCGCGCCATAACTAGATATGTCCGGAGAGCTCTTTCAATTGGCCTTATGTCACAAATTTAAATATTTGGCAAATTTAATGAGGGAAACTATATAAACAAATATTTTTAGGGATATAAATGTTCGTACACTATTTTTAGTGGTTAAAAAAGACAATTAACATTAATGAGGGCACATAAGTAAATAAATATTTTAAAAGGTATAATAAACAAAATCTATTCATAAGAGTTATTTTAAAAGGTAGATAAATATTTCAAAAGGTAAATAAATATTTTAAATGGTATAATTATCCAAACACTATTCATAAATAGAAAGAATTGTGAATCTTAGGCGGCTGGTGAGTATGGGATTCAATGATGGGTATGGGGAGGGGGGTTAGAACCTCTTGGATATGAGATTCTATAGTTAAAAAAGCTCAACAAAAAAAAAACAAAAGATGGAATGGATTCTAACTCCATTCCAACCCATTCTAAATGATCCAACCAAATGACCCCTAAAATGATAATGAAATGGAATAATAGGGAAGAAAAGGAATGGTTTTGTGAAAGAAGCTTTTTCCCGTTCCATTTACTTTCATCAATAACTATAACTACTTATATACTAAAAGACACACCAGCAATGACATGTGTCATTTTCTGATACGTCTTTTAGTTTTTTTTATTTTTAATAATCATTTAGAAACAAATCTTATACATAAATAAACATATAATAAACTAATACATCAATAAAAGATTTGATACATCCTTCCATAATATATACATTGTCAACTATATAAACTTAAGTAAAAAATAATAATAATAAATCAGATTTTTAACATAAATTGTGCCAAGGATTTTATTTTTTTATTTAATTATATGATAAAATCTCCAAGAAAGTAATTTGAATATCGAATATTAAAATAATACTTAAATTAAAAGATTTGTTGTGTCCTTCAACAAAAAAAATATTAACAACTATAACTTTAAGGAAAAAATAAAAATCAAATTCTTAACATAATTTGTGACATACATATGAACTACAAAGTGTAATGTATAACATTTTAAGAAATTCATTTGGTTAACAACAAGAAAATGGTACCAATTTGTCGGTAAAATTACATATATATATATGTATATATATATATGTATGTATATATATATATATATATATATATATATATATATATATATATATATATATATATATATATATATACATATATATATATATAGGCTCTTTTATAATACATGCATTATAGACTCTTTATAATAATAACTATATACTAAAAGACACACCAGCAATGACATGTGCCATTTTTTGGTATGTTTTTTTTTTTTTTTTAATTATCATTACAAATCTTATATATAAATAGAAATATATTAAACTAATACATAAATAAAAGTTTGATATATCCTTCCATAATATATACATTGACAACTATATAAACTTAAGTAAAAAATAAATAATAAATCGAATTTTTAACATAAATTGTGCCAGAATATTATGTAATACAATTATTACAACAAGGATTTTATTTTTTTTATTTAATTATATGTTAAAATCTCCAAGAATGTAAATTGAATATCAAATTTTTACAAAAATACTTAAATTAAAAGATTTGATGTATCATTCTACAAAAAAATATTAACAACTATTGTAATACCCCGTATTTTTATACGTATTTTAACTTAAATAAGTATTTCTTAAAGTATTTAAATAATTCGAAATGAATTATTTATAGTGTTTCATTAATTTAAAACAAATTATTTTAATTAAAAATTTATTTTTAATTATTTAACAATCTTGAAATATTTTATTTCATGATTTGGAAATGTTGGGGAATATTATTTTATAAAAAGGTAAGTTTTAAAGTCAATGGTATTTAAGGAAAGTCAAAATACTAGTTTAAATAGGAAAGGGATCATTACGGGTAAAAAGGGAATTTAAGTCTAGGAGGGTTTTAGAAAGGGAGTATAAATACCCTTCACATGGGCAAATTAAACTTTGCCCAAGGTGGAGAATACCCAAAGGGTAACTCTCTTTCTCTCTCCTCTTATTTTCTCTCTTTTTCTCTTAATTTATCCCCATCCCCTTTATTTTAATTTTAATTTTTTTTCACACACCACAGTGGTCGGCTGCCACCACCACCATGGCCGGCCGCTGCCGCAGCACAGGGCCGGCAGCAGCAGCAGATGTGGGAGGTGGCGCCAGCCACCCTCCCTTTTTCCCCCCTTGTGCGTGCGTGTGTTTTTTTTTATAAAAAAAAAAAAAAAAAAAAAAAAAAAAAAAAAAAAAAAAAAAAATCTTCTTTTGATTTTTAATTAAATCCACCCTTGATCTAATTATTGTTTTTGAGTTTTGTGATGATTTTTATGATGTTTGATTTTAAGTATGATGTATATAAATTTTTAGATTTGGTTTTGAATTAACAAGCCCCAAATTATAAACCCTAGGTTACTAAGTTTATGTATATTGATGGAAATTGTTTATGGGTGATTTAAATTATTGAAATAAGTGTTTTGAAACACAATTATAACAATTTTAGATGATTTAATAAAGCTAGAATTTTTATATATAATCTATGATTATGTTTCTTGAAAGGATTTTTAATTACCCATTAATTGGGAATAAAAGTAAGGGTTTTAAATTAAATTTTAGCTTGTTTTAAAGGGTTGTTTTAAAGCTAGAATTTTTATATATAAGCTATACATATGTTGGAATGTTGGATATGAACCACACTTTTATTATTATCATGATGGAAGGCATGTTTAATTAAACTAATTGTTTAATTTGGTTTGGAATATGAAAAGGGAATCTTATTATGGTTCATATAATTTTTATTGATGCTATAAGCATGAGAAAGGAGCTATTTAAGTGTCTATGTACATGAGGATTAAATTATATTTTGGTGCCTAAGTGCACTTAAGGTATTCTAAACACCGAGGGATAGGATTTGTGGTGCTTTATGCGCATAAGGTGTTATTTAACACCGAGGTAGTTTAAAAAGGATTCAACATTTAATTTATGTGGTCACTAATTATTCAAGAATTAAATTGGTAAGTTTGATTTCTTGAATGAATTATAAAGTTTGATTGTGTTATAGTTTGAGAGTCATCACCAAAGTATAATAATATGTAAAGCAACGTAAAGTGAAACAGATTATGCACCAAAACTCTTGGAACGTATATACCTTGAGTATGAACATATGGGGGGAGTTATGTGACTTTATATTTGACCATAACTTCTACTGGGAGTACAGGACGTTGTATATTCCTTTTTATTATGCGCAGGAATTCCGCCACTTACGAGTGGTTAATTTATACTGGCACGTTTAGCTCCCGTGTTAGTACCCTTTATTGGGGCAGGTTAGGGGGAAACCCGTTTGATGCGTAATCAAATTAAATGGACATTGGTATTTGTCTAGTTAAGTGTTGAATGTCTTGTGTGCTTGTTTGCAGGTGCAACAAGGGAAGTTGTGTGATGATAGGATGAAAGCATGATAGTGTGTTTTATTACGCTTATGTACTCAGCATTGCGGATTGTGTGTTGTATGTTTGTTTGACCTTGTCTTTACCTTGGCCCTACGACGACCCAATTTAATGGCGAGTAGTGGGGACAAGTAGAGAGAAGTTTTTCAGGTGATGAAGCATTTTCATGATGGGTATGAGTGAAGAGCGAATCATGCTTAGTTTCCATAGGAATATGATGTGTTTTAATTGCTTTAAATATTATTTATTTTACTATGCTCATGAGACTAACGTAAAGGTTTTCAGTATTGTTTAGTTTTAAAGGCCTACAATGGTTCCAAGTTGTAGGTTGACTTAGTTTGACTTTACTTTCCTTTGACTTGACTTTTAAGTTGACTTGTTTTGGATAGTTTTAAAAGATAGTCTTCCGCTGTGCCTTTGATATTTGTCTTAGCCGTTTTCACAGTGGCGGTAATGTCTTAGATTTTCCTATTTCGTATTTTAAGAAGGGTAAAACAGGTATTTTAAAGAAAAGGAATTTCTAGGGTGTTACAACTATAAATTTAAGGAAAAAAATTCAAATTCTTAACATAATTTGTGACATACATATGAACTATAGAGTGTAATGTACAACATTTTAAGAAATTCATTTGGTTAACACCAAGAAAATGGTACCAATTTATTGGTGAAATTAAATATATGAAAAAAAAAATACATATAGTCAAATGCGTTTTAGAAATCAGCAACTTTTTTTGGTGCAGCAGGTCACACCATGTGGCAGGGGTTACCTAAGTTATTTTGTTAGGGGTTACTCGAATTATTCAGTCAGGGGTTACTCGAGTTAATCGGTCAGTGGTTACTTGAAGGTTCAGACAGGGGTTACTCGGTCAGGGGTTACTTAAGTTACTCGGTTAAGGGTTACTCAAGTTACTCGGTCAAGGGTTA